CAATCAAAATAGGTCGCGAAAGTCGGAACGAAAAGTGATCTGAAACCTATTGCGACAGACATCAACAACCACGTGACGATTGAAGCGTGACTAGGTGAGGGGGGGGGGCAAATAGCGAAAACAAAAAATTAATTAAACGTTTATTTTCAATAGTTCTAATTTTATTTGCTACAAAAAATTTGTAGAACATTTTAATAAAGTGTCGGTCTTTGGTATGCGATTGGGGACTTTTTTTTTTTCGTTTGGTTTCAAAAACAGCGGGCAAATGCAGGCAGTCTGGTAACATATAGGCCAACGGATCCGAGGGCGTATCCAGGCAATATGCTATCAGAACTTGTGTTTAGATCAGCGTGTTTTGGTTCGGCGCATTACCAGGTCAACGAGGCATCGCCTACATTTCCGTGGTCCGGTAGTTTCATGCGTAGCTTCAAAAGTTTATTTATTTTATGTGCATTTCATAGCTCAACAAGCTCACAGAATGCGTAGATGGCCGCTCCTGTGACGGCCGACTGTTTTCGCTTGCACACGGCCGGCATGCTCTCGCCTTTGGTGACTGTGAACGCGACAGGCTAAGCAACAAGACGTTGTACTCTACGGCTGCCAAAGCTTTATTTTCAAAGCTGCTGTCTCGCTGCAGTGGTTTTCAAGGTTTGGGCAACACGAGTTTTCGAACTATCATGCTATTGTGCTCGTGAACAGTTTGATTGATTGATAGATATGTGGGGTTTAACGTCCCAAAACCACCATATGATTATGAGAGACGTCGTAGTGGAGGGCTCCGGAAATTTAGACCACCTGGGGTTCTTTAACGTGCACCCCAATCTGAGCACACGGGCCTACGACATTTCCGCCTCCATCGGAAATGCAGCCGCCGCAGCCGGGATCCGAACCCGCGCCCTGCGGGTCAGCAGCCGAGTACTTTAGCCACTAGACCACCGCGGCGGGGCCTCGTGAACAGTTGTCTCACAATTACCTCTACAAACTTTCTTGTGCATATTGCAAGTACGTCACGTGACTAATAAAATAACTTTGCTTCCTCAATATTTGTTATTTGTGTTTCTTTTATCTCGCATGCACTTAGCGAGATACAATTATTGCGCAATAAAATCGCGTAATAATAAATGCACATAGCAGGCCAGATATTAGAAAAAATTCTAATTTCGCGCCATGTACGGCAAATACGCAACGTCGCTACCACATCTAGTTGTGACGTAATATTTTATTAATTTTTTTGCTCTTAGTTGTCCCCTTCTCACGTAGATGGCGACAGTGGCAACAAGCCACCGACTGCTGAATCCATGGGCTTCTATGGAAGTTAAGCTACCAATTTGCATATACCTAGGAATAACTGCGTAACATATTCTCCTGACAAATCACAGAGCTTTCCCTGAAGAGGCAGCCGACTTTATGCTGTCCCTAACACATAGCTTACAGCCTCAACATCCCCTTTATTATAGGTCAGCATGAAAACATAAAAACAAGCAAGAGAAAAAAAAAAAGCTCAGCACACCGTGAAAAAGAAACTTCAAGAGAATGGAAGGACTGGGGCTACAACCACGCCAGAACAAATGCAACGTCACAGGAGGGCTGTAACATAATCAGCCTCGACCGGGCATACATAGCTAAGTAACGGCCACATAAAAAAAAAGAGCAGGTGCAAAATTTCGGCGGGCCTTCTGTGTGGAAGAAAAAAAAAAGCTGGCGTAAGATCACGCTCGCAAAACGTGCATATATAGAAAACCGATATTCCCAGCAGCAGACCGCAAACCACGAGAAGACGTTTCATCGCCACCCCATCATCGTAAACGTCAGACAACCGAAAAGGCAAACAAAAAACTAAGAGACAACAAAAAACTAAGAGGCGAGCCATTGCGTTCCAGAAATAGTAAGCAAAGGACACGAAGGAGATGAAGGCATAAGTAGCGGGGAAAAGAAGAAAGACAGAGGCAGCCAGGGCACGACTGACTGAAGGCCATTCAGGTGCTCAGCGCCGCGCCGACAGAGAGAAACAAAAGCAGCGGTGAAAGCCGACACCGCCGGGGTGATGCATGATGATGGCGCTTCTTCGCACCGGTTGCGTTTCGCGCGACCCATCTGCCTCGGCGCGTTTCTCCGATGTTTATGATAGCTGCTGGGCGGAGGCTGCAGTGTAACCAGAGGGCACCCCTATACGCGCGCTAAAGGACAAACGCGCTCCCGAAAAGCAAACGGGCCGTCGCACAATGAGCGTGCCGAAGCAGCAGCCCTCGCGTCGCAAATGCGTTATCGAGAAGAGCTATACGACACAAATATGGTAACTATAACACGGATTATCGGTGGCAGGCCCACAGCCAAAACTTTTTTTGAGGGGGGGAGGCTGAGGGGGGAAGCAGGAGGGTTTACGTTTGTCCACACGTGGCCTTTAAGAACACCCATTATTAGTATTTTTTTTCTTGCTCAATCATCAAACTCCATACTAATTTCAGGGGTAGGGGAAGACTAGGCCCCCTTCCCCTTCACTGGCTTACGGACTCGATTGGCGAACATCCCGACATTAGGTTTTATTTCCGGTATTAAATGAAATCCCGGGCCCTCCTTGCTATAAGAACTAAAGGAACTAAATGGTCACAGTGACCATTAGTAGGTTAAAATCTAAGCAGCCATTTACAGCTACAATAAGCAATGATTCTCTTATTCTCAGAAGAAAAAGGGGGGGGGGGGCGCCAAGGGTAGCGAATGTGTATATTTGCACTTCCCACTCGGTGAATACTAACGAACGATCGTGTAGCTTTAGCGCGCACATAATCTGCTCTCTTTCCCCCCTTTTCGTTAGGGCGACAACTCCCCGAAGAGATTGTGCACGTTCGGCGCTATATGCTGTGAGTGATTCCAAAGGCGCCACCACCATGCATCATCATCGCTACTGATGCCCCTTGCAGCTCCCATATACGCAGCTTACGCTGCGACCAACCTGCCCACCTTTATCTTAGTTAAAGGTTCTCTTTCTACCTCCCCCCCCCCTCTCTCTCTCTGTTCTTTTTTATTTTACTCACTTCTCTAGACACACAAGGACCTCCCGTTGAGAACTGCACGACCTTACGTTTCAAGGCCCGCTCGCGAGCGCGAATGTAGTGATATTCTAAGCGAAAAAGAAACAATCGCCGTCACGGTTTGGGCACCTTTACAGCCCCCGCTTGGCTGCAACGCTCCCCACCCGAGCTGGACAGTAAAGAATAAATATCGGCCCAGTAACCTGCCGAGGCCCAGGAGAGTGTGGCCGCGCTTCCATGATTTATTGGTCGTTTCGAGGGTAGAGCAGTGGGAGGTATATAACTGCAGGTTCACCGGTCAACCACAAATGTTATCTTACCTGGAAGTTCATTGTCGCTTTTTTTTTATTGTTCATGTTGGTTTTTTTTGTTTTCATATCACCGTCATATACTACGCCGTGACGACGTAACGGCCGAAGAACCTATCCAAAAGAGTCCGCTCTTTGACCACATTGCGTTACCGCCTGCAAGGCTATAGACAATGTCCCTCCAGAGTGCTCGATCGGTCAAGTTATACACAGCCGGAATCTTCAACCGCCCCTATCTCCACTAAACGCCGACCGCAATATCCGTCTATGTGTCCTTCTGAAAAGAGGCTTGCACGAGAAAAAGTAAGAGACCACGCTGCAAATGTCCACGGCGCGGGTTTGTTTATACGACGCCTGCAGATGCAGATCTTCGCGGTATACGGCCTGAAATTCCACCGCCCAGGTCCTGCCTGCGTCTAGCGAGGTGAGACGGTCCCCGCTTTCTTGCAAACAACTTCTGGCCACCCCGGTACGACAGTACACCGACGATAAAAGGACGTCGGTGATCCATATCGGGCGCGGTCATCGAGAGTTGTATTCTAAGGACGAAGTTTATGGGAAGCTACGGCATATAAACGTATTCTACTCCATATGATTGGGACTGGGAACATAAACTGGCGTAGGGCAGTTTCGGAGCTCTATATATACTGTCGGTCCGGAATCCCACCCGTTGTACGCGTCTTCGGAAAGTGCCCCTTTCACGAATACGACCGACAAGACGCGGCGCACGCGCACAGCGTTTCGACGCTCCGGCTTTATGGCGACAAAGAACGGCCGGTTGTTACAGGCGACTTGCAGAGAACACGGCCGAAATGCCTACCACGACAACAGCAGTACATCGTTTAGGACCGTGGACCGGCCTCCGTTACAATCCCATAGTACGCTCATGTGTGTTTTCATGTGGTTTCGGTGATTCAGCACACTGGCACGTTTACAACTTGACCGTATAGAACCCCGCATGCTCAAAAACAAAATCGATAAACCAAACCGCCATTATGTGCCGCAATTTGCCACAGCTTAGTGCGTCCTCCATGCGGGCGAGTCTTGTAGCCTCAGATAACCTAACAAAAGTTACCCACCCACCCACCTATTTAACTACCTACGCACCTATTTGTAGGTGAAGGCCAACCACGTTATCCCACAGCTATAGGTTCATATACACGCTGCATGCGATGTCTGCCTGCTGAGGAGAAATTCTACAACTATACGGTGCATGCTGTAACGATACTGTGCTCGTCGTACGTCCGTTAGATAAAAGAAGCAAACGTTAGCATACGGCGAAGTAAGGTATTTGAGATGCATGTTCATGACAGCACAACAGAAACGTTAGCACGAGATGGTGAACAACGACAAGAGGGACAGAGAGAGTGACCGTACTGTCAACTTTCTTGATTCTACTCAATCTGCTTCGTAATTTTCTTTGCGTACTCACGAAATTTCCATCGTGCATAACTCGGGACTGCATCTACACTGCACATACCTCGCTGACAGCTCGGAACTAACCGGTTCACTAAAGCGAGGGTTGTAAGGGACATCGCCATCATGCCGCAGCCAAGCAAACGAGTATCGCGCATGCCACATAGACCCAAAACACAGCGGCGCTACAGGAAGCGTGCGGGAATACGTCCGTGCTGAACTTCGTGCGCCTATTGAGCTTTTTTACCGTGGGCGGTGTATGCGCGGCCGTGGGCGACGAGACAGGCCTCGCTGGCACCCGGGGCAGTGCGGCCTCCAGCATGGGCATCAGCAGAAATCCTTTGGACACCGAAGCCGCGGCCATGTACTGACCACTGAGCCGCGCCTGAAGTGGAGGGAGGACGGGCAGAGGCGGGCATTCGAGAAACAGAACGCGCTCGCAAAGTGCAAATCTAGCGACCAGCCGAAAAAAAAAAAAAAATCATCGCGCGGTTTCGCTTCTGTCCAATCTACATGCCTGTCCTATCTACAAGTTTTGCAAAGTAAGACAAAGCAGCACTGTGCAGGGTGACGGTGATCCACTGCCTATCATCGTACTCTTTAGCCTTGACTTATCTGACTCACGTATTCTCAGTGTTGCGGCAACACGAGAGTAGTAGTGTACATCTGCCAGTTCAGCGCACCAGCACCGACCCGTTATTTTGTAAGGGGAATCAGACACAAGCATGTAAGAAACTGTTATGCACGGCGCACCATTCGCAGATAAAATGTCAGGCATTTATGGCGAGGCGATAAGCAAGTCCAGCCGCTGTCGACCATTCGCCCGTAAGTAGCATGTCTTATTACTTCGTACTACTATTTCTGTATAAATTTTGATATAACCTTGCGTCCATACCGTTATCATTCCTCACATTCACATAAATTGAAGCACGACACGAACCTCCAAAAGAAGCCAGGGTGCTTCAAGCACACCGTGTCGTCTATTCACGTCACCATTGACACCCTTGGCTGCAGCTACGTTTGCACTACGCCATGAGCATTGTTTGCGGCTAGCCCATCACCAAAAAAAAAAGCAAGGAAGGAAGGAAGAGAGGATGAAAGGAAGGGGAAGGAAGGAAGCAAAGAAGGAAGGAAGGAAAGAAAGAAAGAAGGAAGGAAGGAAGGAAGGAAGGAAGGAAGGAAGGAAGGAAGGAAGGAAGGAAGGAAGGAAGGAAGGAAGGAAGGAAGGAAGGAAGGGTACTGTATGCTGAAAACAGGCACGATACATCTCTTACGATGCATAGACACACCGCATTCAGTGCAGACCAACGTCAATATCGAGATCTGTCCGGTATTACTGAAAGACGATCGTCTCCACGCCGTTGGAATGCGTCAATCAATCAACCGAGACTACTGGATTCCCGAACGTACTGTGCATTTCGTTGGGGGATCGCCAAAGAGCAGTTGGTCGACCACTCGCACGCGGAACTGTGCTCACGCACGCACTCTGCTCACACACGGCGACAACGCGTGCGTGGCGAAAGAGCCCCGGTAGCGTTCGCAAGCCGGCGGCGCATCGAATCAATAGGTGTCGGTGGAAGAGGGGTGCAGCGGCGACACGGCAGCGTACCGCGGTGGAACTGCATCGACAACTGCTGCCGCCAACCACCGCTGCCAGCGGAGACGGCCACAGAACAACTGGGCCGAAGATGAAGGATGGCGGCCTCGAAATTAGCGCCTACGCTAGCGGGGGCATAATTCTGCCATTAGGGAGGCGAAAAACCATTTGTCACGGGAGGAGGAATTGGGGGGGAGAAGAACCACGCAAAGCGGGCCAAATAAGAAGGCGGAGAGCGACCACAACCGCGAGGGCTTCTTCGACCGAGCCAACCCCTCCCGAACGGATCAACGCGAGACCCGGGTTCGGGCTACAACGGCGAACACGCGGTTCGGCATGCACATACGAGCAAGAGCAGAGTGTGGTTGTGGTGAGCACAAACCGCAGCACAGAACGCACGTCTAGCTGTTTTCCCCCCGTCGCCATTCGGCGAAATCGCGACGCGTCACCCACATCTCTTGCGCGCGAGATGCAACGACGCCGGAGGGAGGAATGCAAATAAGCTAGTCTGAACAGTACGTAGCGGAAACAAAAATGGCGCCACGAAGAGTGCGAAAGGGCAGAAACGAAAGCGCCGTATACTCACTTGCAGCTCGTGCAACTTCTGCTGCTGCTCAAGCAGTTGCTCTTGCTGTCGCCGCAGCTCCTCCTGCTGATGCTGGTTGGCCAGACCCTCCTGCTCCAGCTGTGTCTGCAAGCCACAAAAGACACGAAACGTGAGAAGGCACACGAACTGTGCCTGCTTGCCGACGTCGGCAAGCAGTCTCAGCGAGAGCAAGAACTGCACCGCGCGGCTACGTCCATTCGCTTCTCAGCGTACGCTTGCGTATACGCTCGCCAAGTCGCGATAAAATGGCGAAGACGACGGGACAGGCAGGCATCAAGAAGGCGGCCGTTGCTTCGGTTATCGCGCCGACGGCTGCTCTCGTTGCGCGCTTCGCATTGCATCTCTGACTGCTTGTGCGCGCGTGTGTAAGAGACAGAGAAAGCGGACAGGGCAACTATGGCTCTACCCCCACCCCCGCGCCCTTTCTTCCACGTTACCACTATCATCCGTAATGTCCCTTGTGATGCTATGTTTTGCGCGTGGTGCGGCGATACGCGGTCAGGACCCTTCACACACGGAACGGCAGAAGCGGAAGCCCACAGATTGATGCTGGGTGCGTGAGAGAACACAAAAAATAAAAGGCGAGTACATGAATGATGTATTGATAGCTTTGCTAGATAAGTGATGCTGACCCACAAAAGCGTGCTTCCAAAATAAGCTGAACATTGCGGGATTATGCTTGAATATATGTAAGATACTAAATATAATTTACAAGTATATGTGTACAGATGAAAGACAAATGGTACAACTGAAGAGAAAACGCTTAAACAGAACGCACAAAAACGCAAAACAAAATTAGGTCAGTGGCTGCAAAAGTTGTGCAGAACGAAATTCCAAGTTTGCACAAGCGAAAATATCTTCTAGCCAAGGCACGTAGACTCTTTACAGCTGTAAATTTAAGCAAGGTAATACGCATATCTCCGTGATACAGAAGAAAGAAGAGCGTGACCAATAACATTATATATATATATATATATATATATATATATATATATATATATATATTAGAGAGAGAGAGAGAGAAGGGGAAAGAAACGCCGAGGATGCACCAGATTGCGGTATTTCGCTTCCATGAGGAAACCCGGTGGAAGCTTATAGGAGGCACTGAGAACGGAGACGGTTGTATTCCCAGCTAGAGCTACAGAAAGTGCGCCTTTACACCTCACCTTCAACCTGAAAATATTACATATGCTTTAGTATACGTACTTAAAACCACGGAGAAAGGTATTGCCTGTCGGCCAGAGCTGATCCGCATGATCGCCTGAACATATATAGAAAAATTCAAGAAATGTGAATGCTACACGTGTACTTCCTTCTATGTGCAATCATTCTAGAGGCCAATGGCACGCCTATATGACTGCAGAACAATGATCCTCGCTGACCTCACCGATCGCGTCAAAGTACCGAGTGTACCCGGATGAGGACGCCTCGACAGGTTCATTGTGTCCAAAGCATGACGATAGTTATGGCGCGAGAACAGAACGACGACACAGAGACGAGAAGGACGCAAAAGGCACGTGTCCTTGTCTCTGTGTCGTCATTCTGTTCTCACGCTATAAACTATCGTCATGCCATACCAACTAGCCCAAGCTGGCACACTTCAATGTGTCCAAAGCATTCGCTTTCTGGGTGCCATAGATAAGAAGCACCGGAAACACGCAGATAACTAACACAGTGCGGGTGGAGGACGCGTGCGGGCACACGGAACTTCGCAGACGGCCACCCTAGATGTGTGCACGTCTCTGGTCGCCTTCCGGCCGACAAGAAAGGCGCCTGCCGTCTTCTATTAGTGCGAAAAGTAAATTGCCATAAAACAAGAAACAAAAGTGACACGTTCGTGTGCCTGGTTATCACGGAACGGAAACGACGGTTCGCCCACGTCGCTAATCCGAACCACTCTTATACACCGCGAACGGAACAAAGACCTGCGGCTGTCACGCGAGACGGAACTTACTCCGTCCTTCTTCGCCCACTCCTTGTCTATCGTTACGCGTTCACATGTCTCGTAGTAAGTACCGAAAAGACCAAATCCAAGTTCCTCAAGTAATCTATTGAGTCAGTAGAGTGCAAGTTCATTGCTAGGAATCTGGTGAATGTCGACATGTTGGGAAAAAAACATCGCATTCAGTGTGAGGAGGCTACAATTTGAATACCCTGGTCTCTTTTATCCATTACGTTTGTTTATTAAACCAGCTTTCGTGCAACGCTGCCTTCGCATGCTGTAAAATACAGTTGCGCTTTATACAAATTTCCGGCCCGTTATCTCACAGCATACGATAGTGTTTTACTTTCGCTGTAATAAAGCCATTTAATGTCTAAAGTCGGTACCGTCGTTCGCTTAATTGGTGGTACGCACAAATAATAACGTCTGCTGGACAGGCTTTGTAGAGGATATTATTTTGTTGTCGGTCATATAAGTGACCCCCAATAACTCAGCATCCACTAACGCTAAAAGTTTACAGACAAATAGAAAAAGAAACACAAGTTCACAAGGGCCCGTAATTCTTATTTACCACACTGTTATGCGTAAACTTCTCTTACTGTTAATGCTTTCCATTTCTGCTTCATATACTTATGATGCCCGCTTTCAGCGAAGACCCACGTTGACATTCATCGACACGCGTTGGCTTAAGCCTGCTCGTACGCTCAATGTTCCGCTGATGGCGTTTCCCCAGCATGCGGAAGTATTCCTAATAAAGCATGTACTATATATATACATTTATATGTGTGTGTGCCTCCGCGCCATGTCACAGGTTCATTTCTCAACAAGAAGCACTCGGCGGGCTTCCACGAGTCAGTTTGCAGTTATTAATTGGCCACTCCGTCTGAGTTAATAAGCACCGCGGAGTTGTTTTAATCCGAATATTCCTACAGCAGGCGCACTATTAAGGCAGTCATGACTTCCTGTTCGCGACCGCACTCGCCGACAATCCGTTTTGACGCCGACGCGAAAAAATAAAAGAACCGAAACACGTAACAAAAGCGACAAAAGAGGTTAGGAATTGCGGGACAGACAGGCGAGCTTTGCAGAATCGATCGATAGCAGAACATAAAGAAAGAACAAAAAAAAATTAAGAAGCGGGCAGCTTCAAGACGCGCTGATCTTGCCTCGCAGTTCCTGGAGCCGCGGTGCTGCGACCGGCCGGGCGATCGCGCCGAGGGTGAGGCGCGACAGGTTAGTTTCATTTGTCCCGCAGAGGTGTTCCGACTGTCCAACGCTCATTGGCGATTATGGAGAAGGTGGCATCCCTTCCTCTCACTTCCTTTTCTGCCGCCGCAACAAGTCGTCGCGGCGGCTTTTGTTGAGCGGGCAGAAAAAAAAACAGCTCCGGGTCAAGCCGAATGCCGCGCGGCCATCTCCTTATAGCGTGCTTTATTTATTGTATTCTACACAGCGTTCAAACGAACGCGGCGTGACCACTCCCGCGGCGGATTTGCGTACAAGCAGGTATAAGGGCACCCCGCGCGGTAAGGCGCCCAATTTGGTACGGCGCCACGGGGGGATGCGATCGCGAAAGAGCGGCGGAACCGCACGGCTCCAAACGGGGGTGTCCTGTCACGACTGGACCGCGCGCGCTTGCCACGAAGAGAGAGAAAAAAAAAAAGGGGGGGGGGGGGGGTCAGGTGGGGTCTGCTAATGCCGTACGTGACAGAACTGGCGATGATGCCAAAGCGTGTGCAGTAAGTGCGCAGCGCCAAACGCGTGCGCAGCTCCTTCAACGAGAATGCACGCGCAGGGCCCTCCCCTCACGAAGCGCGCGCGCACGCGCATATACCGTATTGCGGCCGCCGGCCCATCCTGATTACCTTTCATTAATGGCTGACCGTTCGTCTTAAGCTGTACGATACTGCGCTCGTTGAAAACTCGCCGCGAGAAACTGCCCGGGCGTGATTTGTTCATTGGCTCCCCGGACACGATCGTCACTTGTGACGCGAGATATATACGGACGCCGTGGGAGGTAGATGAGATGCAGGCGATGAGATAAACGAAATGCTTCCTCACCGTACGAGCTCTTTATCCAAAGTAAAGCGGGTACCGATACAAAGAGAAGCGAAACGTCGCATTTGTTGTTAATCCTCAGTCCATGCCTTACCGCAATCTCGGAGGGCTCTTATCGTAAAATAGCTTATCTCACCCTTTGGCGTCTGCTGCTCCGGCAATCTGGTCCGCTTACTATAGGGACAACCGAAATCATTAGCGATGTCGTCTTATCTATAGCATCAATGTGTTTTATTTCATTTGTTTAAAAGCAGCTGCACGTATAGTCTCAAACACAGATGTCGCGGGTTTTCTGCGGCTGTCTTTACTAAAGGCGTGTGTTCCGAATCCCGCAGTCGAGTACGGGCGAACCATGCGCGTGTTAAACATACGACAACACGTCTCTTATTTTCATACGTTGTGAACGTGGATATCTTGTTCAGAACAAGCGGTTATTTTTGCCAGCCGTGTCTGCAATTGATTGCATAGAGCCATTGCTGTTTGTTATGGTGATGCTTCATCAGGAGGCTGAGGACTTCGGTACAGCGAAATATAGGGGGAGATGAGAAACGAAAGACAGGGACAAGTGTCATTGTAAAGTACCGCAGCCTTCATGAAATGGTTTAGAGCCTCCAACTCGGAGGCGCTGGGTTCGACTGCCCAGTGCATCACACATGACCCCCCTCCTCCCCACGAACGACGCTGCTTGCTCATGGATTTCAGAAATGAGCATCACTGCTACCCTCGAACCACCATATTCTCTTTTGAAAGCGAAATTATAACTTGAAAGCACTGAAAGCAACAGAAACACAAGTGATGATGGCAATAGCCTGCAAAAATCACGTGAGTGTTCACAATGGAAACAAGAAAAAAGCAGCGATAGAGGAAGATGACATAAAGGAGAGAGAGTAACAGGCGCGCGCTGCATGACTACAATGCCAACCATCATTCATCATTTATTGAACCCTTAAAGGCCCCTTGCGGGGCATTACATAAGGGGGAGGCAAAAACAAAATTCAACAGATGCATGATTGTCAATGGTACAAAGCATAATCGAAAGTGAACTACATGATAAAAAACAATGTCAACAGAAGGAAATATATAT